AGGGTGTTGGTCTCTTCTCCCAACTAACTAGTGGTAGGATGAGAGGAAATGGCCTCAGCTTGCGCCAGGGGAGGTTTAGATTGGATATTAGGAAAAATTTCTTCACTGAGAGGGTGGTCAGGCATTGGAACAGGCTGCCTGGGGTGGTGGTGGAGTCACCATCACTGGAAGTGTTCAAAAACCGTGTGGATGTGGCGCTTCAGGACATGGTTTAGTGGGCATGGTGGTTTTGGGTTAACAGTTGGACTTGATGATCTTGAAGGTCCTTTCCAACCTTAGTAATTCTGTGATTCTGTGATTCTGTGAAAAAGTGGACTGGTATTAATTTTTTGCTGTCTCTTCCAAACCAAGAACTCATGAAACTCATATGAACTACGTTCAAAACCAAGAAAAGGAGGCAATTCTTCATGCAATGGGCAGTAGATAAGAGAATCTCCTTGCCAAAGAAAATGCAAGAAGTTGTGGATGCAAGTTTACACAGGTTCAGGAGAAAAGGGGACAAGTAATCTTAGCCCACTGCCGAGACAACAGGATGACTGCATCCTCTGCCAAAACCAGTGTCATCATTATTATGTTCGATCCTCGTTCTTACAGCTCACCTTTAAAGGAGAGCTAAACTCAAACTGGAAGCAACTGAATTCAATATCCTGTCTGAACATGTTATTTATTTACATTTTTTTGGTTCTGACCTTCAGTTAATACTTCTGGATAAAAGTTGACATATAAAACTAATGTTATGATAGAAACAACATAATGATCATGAATACCACATGTCTGCATTAGTACAAGCTGAAATTCATTAAAGATTGTCTTAAAGATTAATGAAGCTTAAGGAGAAAAAGTTGCCACTTTTAAAACAGATAAAAAAGAGTAAGTTATACGTACAAAGGTGGCTTAAGTTCAACATGTCACAGACACAACATGCTCACCAGGGAAAGTTTGGTTTTTTTTTTTAACAAAAAATGAAAACGCAACTCTGAACAAGGTTAAAGATTGTATTTTAATCACAGACTGAAACATCATGATTTACAAAACTGATGGTTAGATTTAAAACCAACCACTACATCTTTCTGTGGGAATATTCCCCCCACACCCTAGCAGACTAGGGGTTCAAGTGAAGAACAGAGCTGTTCATGTTTGCCTTTGGGACTCAATAGTGATTTCCAGGATGATGACAGATGCTGCAAGAATTCACCTAAGATGCTTGTCAATGCATTTCATTTACCCAGCTGGAAGTGGTTTCTTCTAAGGAACTCTGCTCGATTCATCAAAAATCCCAACCATCTTGCAGCTTTCTGTCCAGAGCCTTCTCTGCAGCTCCTCATCATAGGCTACGTCAGCTGATTTTGTCCTTTCCTCATTGTAAAGGTAGCAGCCTCCAGCTCCTTCCATCTCAGGCGATACTGCTGCATACAGGGTTGTAGAGGCTCCTTCCTCTGGAGTCTGCAGAAACAAAACCAAAACAAATTCAGGCAAGGCAGGTACAACAGAAGAATTACATTACACCATAGGACCTTACCAGTGACAATCAGCTTCCCTAGTTTTGCATCACACTTGTGGTTGTTATGCAAACCTCAAGCTGGTAATGACAGAAATGCCACCTATTCAATCAGCGGAGTAGAGTCCATTTCTACAGCAGTGCTATTTTGAGAAAGCTTAAAGCCACAGAACAGATATATGGAAAACTCTGGTCCATTTTTTCAGGATCTAGTCAGATGGAGCGTACAAAATAATTGATTTATTTTCCACAGTTAGAGCTAATAAACCCAAAAGCAGATATTAAAATCCTACTTTATTTATCCATTTTGCAAGGATGAAAGGGTCTGTATTCTGCCTTAAGAAGATGAAGGCTATGCTGTGTGCGCAATGTGTTCATTGTAACAACATGACACAAGCAAAGGATCATTGAAAACATGACAGCAAATTAAGATTCTGCAGTTCAATCCAAGCAGGCAGGTAAACCAGGGAATTACATTTTACAGAGAGCACAGTTATCAGGTTTCTGCAGTGTCATAAAGCAAAATGGTGACAGATCTATAATGTCTGGTATACTGTGAGTATTAAATGAAAATTAATAAGGGAATAGTTTAGAGTGATAATTCCTTTCATCCTGAGGATATGCAAAACATTGCCATTTTGTATTCAGCAGAATTATTTCAATGGCAATTTTTTTCTTTTATTGAAACATATATATAAAACATAACATTTTATATGTTTTGTCTTTATCACTGATATAATCATGATCAATGCCTGCTAGACAATGCGTCATTTTACAATCCTTGCAGTCACTAACAGTAACAACGCTGCTCATAGCTTTGGCTGCTGCACCTGACAGGAGTTCTTTTCCTGAAGAACTCACTTGATGAATGAGACAGTACTGAATAGGTTACTCAGTGCCTAATTAAAAAAAACATAAATCTAAGACATTTGAAGCTTTTTGTGACAAGTTTCAGGTATTTTAAAAGGAAACAACTCCTATGTTTTCTCACTGTACAATTTATTAGAAATAATACATTTATCTGATGCATCTGGTGTTTGGTCTCATTTACAAATAAATTAGAGCCATGTCACACAATCACACAACAAGGCAAGGTTACACACACCGCGACTTCTCCGGCCGCCACCAGGGCAGAGCATCCTCAGCATCTGAAGGGAAACACATTCCCTGCGTGACCACCGGCACATTCCCCAAAAAGAGAACTGCTGAAGAAGGAACATGGCTTGCTGAGGTACTTCCATGCACAGAGCTCCACTGCTTCCATGCCAAGCCCTTGATCAAAGGTGTTTCAGCTGAAGGAAAAACTACTGATGCCAACAGACACCACCATACATTCCTTCAATGACCACAACATAGTCAGCTTTTACCATCAGTTACCACACAAAGACAGCATGTCCTGTTCCAAATAGACCAAATGAAATAAGGTGATAATTCAGCTATCCAACGCGCTATTCTCTCAGCAAAATATCAGTTAGTGCATTAAAAAAACTCGGGTCCAGGTAACTACTGGAATACTTTTTATGTTTTAAGAAGATCACTGTACTATGAGATATTGTCTAGAAACACTTAAAAAGTGCTTATTTACCCTAGTTTAGGTAAGGTACTACTATTACTTCTTCACCCTTTGTTATCTTACGGAAAATAGTGCTATTCACATCCAGCAGATTATTTAAATGGCATAAAGCTATGTGCATGCACAGTTCTTTGCAGGATCCGGATGACTCCAAGAAGTTGAAGTCTACATGTTCACATAGTGGCTACTATCATGATCAACTATGATGATAAAATATCTTTTTATGCTGCTGTAAAGTAGTAGAACAATGATGAATACAAGCGTTCATATTTTATACAATTTATTCTGGATGATAGAGAGAAATCAAAAGTTTTTTAAGGTACTGCTGTGCTTTACTTAAAAATTTAGCGACACAGATAAACCATTACTTCATGCTGTGGTTCACTGGACGTTATGTTCCTGAGTTCAACAGCTCTCCAGCACAAACAAGTATAAATGTCAATGTCAATGACTCCCAAATCTTAATGACAACAGCACAAAACTAAAATGCTTTAAAAAAATTTTCTGTGGGCAGAATTTGTGTGATTATGTCCTTATGAGGACAGCCTCAGAGACTGGTCTGTATGGGTCTTCCTACACCATCAGAAATACGACATGTCTTTGCTAATTTGCTGGGAAGGTTCTCCGAGGACATGCAGGATTTATCAAGTTTTTTCTTTTTTCATGATATGTCAAGTAAGTTCCTCACCAGAGGGGACCTATTCCAAATAATACCAAATACATTAAATAAAGGCTATGTAAGAATTGAAAGACAGTTGTTGGTTTTATTCATGCAGCCCTAGTACGCCTTTACCAAACCATTTTATATAGCAAACTGTTTCCTATTCTTCAATACAAAGAAAATATCGAGCAGGCACAGACAATAATAAACGTGCTTACATGGTCACACCGTGACCAGGCTATAGGCACAGTGACATCATCATCATCCAGTAAGGTCAGCTTGTGTAACTTTTCACAAGATTTAATTTGTTTTTCATCCTGTCCACCAGTTCTAATATGCTGAGTAGAAGGTTCTATGCAAAATTCCTATTCAGTTTCTATCACCTGTCACTAAAAGCAATTATCTAAACACATAAGGAAAAAATAATATAATACATAAAGCAATTACTGTATAATAATTTAAGTTAAAGGAAAACAATTTTTCCAGTGCAACAGGGAGCAGAGTTGCACATGGATGATTAATTAATTGTCTTATCTTATGAGTGCTTAATTAATGCTGAAAGCTTTAATGTTCCCTTACTTGAGGATCTCTTCATTGTTTTGGCACGTTTTCTGTTTTAAGGTAGAAAGGAAACCCTACACCACAAGTCCGCTAGCCTTCCAGCTGGGTGGATGACCTACCTGTTTTGAGAGGCTGGAAGAAAAGCACATGCTGTGACTCCATCTCTGGATCATGCCCATACCTACCGTGAAAGCACTGTACATCCACTTGCTCACACACAGTCAAGACTCTTTCTCAAAGTGCTGGATCTACTACACACCCATAGATCAGCTGCAACACATAGAAACACACAGATTCATGCACTCATGTCCTGCCTGTGTACCAGCACGTGAGGAGCTGCTGGGAAGGAAGAAGCTGGCAGTAGGTTGCAACCATTGGTGCAATTCATGAGTATCTGGACAGGGAGCAGGATGAATTGTTCCAGCAGTGGCAGCCTCACTTCTGGTTACCAACTTTCCTGGGAGACCCATAGCTCTTCTTTTACCACATGGTAGCCCACAAAAAGATGAGGAGGAACCATAAAGCCCTTGGAAGAGAAAACACCACAAGCAGGAGAAGACTACTGCAACACATCTGACCCATCCTTTGATGCCAACAGCCTTCTAGGAAGGACAGTACCTGATAATAGGCAGAGGAATCACCAGCCAGTGGTTGAATACCTTGATCTATAAAACCCAGGATCTTTGTCATGATGCTCTACAAACAGGAACAAGTTCCTGCTTTTGGGACTGTGAAGCATTATACCAAAATTTGCAGGTAGATAGGGAGTAATAATAAGTATCATTCAAATCACAGGGGAGGATACTCTACACGTTGCCAGAATTTAAAAAAACAAGAACAAAAAACCAGTAACAAAATAATACACATACATATAGGATCAGTAACATCTTGTTCATGAATTGGTTGGACTTGTTCTAAGACAAGAGGGATTCCTATAAATTGCACAATGACTCTTCACTCTTCAGTTACCAGCTTGTTTGTGCTGAACTTTTTTTAAATTGGACTTTTGTTTACAAATTATTATATTATTAGTATCCAAACAACTGTAATTAATACATTTGTCATATCCAAGTAAAATTGATTTCTGCTTAATTTTTTCATAACGAAATTCTGCATCTGCAATTCCTTTTGCCTGTAACAGTATTGATCACATCTTTTACTTTCTTTTGCAATTAACTATTTGTTTGCAGTATCCCTTCAACAGAATATAAAGGTCTGATTGAAATTACATATCTTTGTATTGCTCATTACATGGGTAGGCTGTAGAAGAATGAGAAAAAAGATTACACGTAACCAGATTGTTCAAGCAAAATGCAGCCCATATGCACAAAATGACATTATTTTGGCACTATTCCCAAAGAAAAAGATGGGTTTTATAGTAGCTTTGATATTTCTTTTTTTAAATATTCATCAATAGTAAGTCATCAACATAGAATAATTTTCCCTTGGCATGAAATGGAATATTCTGTTCTGTGAAAACTGGGACATATACTCAGGGGGTTTGTGTTTTAGTTTTGGGTTTTTAAGACTTGCCAGTTAATGCATTTTGATTAATGCGTTTTTAAGTACCATATAATCTTGTCAATACTAGGCACTAATGCTTGCAAAATGTGTTAGCTGACAGTCAGTCCCTCGAGCCACGTCACCATGAAATGTCACATCTTTTTCATTTGTCTGCTTAACTCTTTGGAAATCATGTGTCTGCATCAGTTATACTTTGTGGTATGTGGCTTTGTGGTGCTTTCCTTGTTAATCCATCTTCCACCTCCACCTGATTCATAGCTCAGAGTCCTGGGCAGACAGTATGGTATGTCCATCAGAAACCACAGAAAACTGGACAGAAAACAAAACCAATAAGCTCCTATAATTCCTCTTCTGCAACCCATTCATCTTCCCAGTACCATTTTCAGTAACTAGCAGCAAACACTGAGAACCTTGCTATGTGCCTTAAACACTATGACAAACAGTTTGAATGGATGGCACATATATACTTCAAATTGCATTGGTTGACAGAGTTGGCCATACGATTGAAAAAGCTGTAGTGATACAACCCGTGGTATCAAAGGAGTACTTACTCTGGAGTAGCTTCCCCGCACCCCAGTCAATCAGCTGATTGTACTTGGTTTGTATTTTATGACTTCAGGATGCTG